TTGAAAAACAACTCAAAAGAAGATGCATTCCACCCTCTTGAGACTTCTATTAATAGAAAGAAGTTAAAAATCACTCATATTTTTTCCCACCAGTTCATAAATGAAATTTTAAAAAAGTGAGAATAATTTAGCGGGGTGTCAAGAAGCATTAAATAACTGAGATATTTATCTAATTGGTTAAAATCAACGAGCTCTTGTTCTTTATTGCTGTAAGTAGATGGGCTTAAAAGCGTGTATCTGTAGTAATTGATGCAGCAGACAGACTAGTTGGAAAGAAAATGGCCAGATCACCTGCTAATTTTTTTGCCCAATTTTCCTTCTCATTTGGTGCTGTTTGACATGTTGCTGCAGCAACCGCTGTTGCTTAGGTGTTACCCCTAAGCCTAGAGACTGTCAGGCATTTTGGACCAACAGTTGCTAGGAAATGTTCCGGCAAGTGCCAAAAGTAAAACACACTGACACATGGAACCCTCATGTGCTTGTGCAGCATAAATATTTAATAAATCTGAGCATTTGGGGGAAAAAAATCCAGATTACTGGATTGTGAGACTCATTTTAATATTTTCCTTAGAGGATTAAGCAAGTTTGAGACCTAACTTTTACCTCACATGCGAGTTAGGAAAATACATATTAAAAGGAGCGGGCTTCATAACTGACTCTGACTTAATGTATTTACATAAAACAAATTAGCAGAGAGCATTTCAGAAAGCCATATTGTAAACTAACAAAAAAGTACTTACATAAACTATGAACATGAGTGTAGATATAAGTCATCTTATAAAAAGCTGCATATATCAGATAACCACGTCTCAGATGGAATGTGAAGGCAGATAACTACAGAGGAAATGCCTGAGGACTGAGACTTTTCCACTGACATCTCTTTGGATGCACCACTCTGTGTACAGCAATTGACATACAAGCTTTTGATATGTTCTTCAAGATAATCCGACCTGTGACGAAGCATAACAACAAAAACATCTTTAGGGAGTCAGTATTTCCCATTTAAAACTGTAACTAGGATAACTCTTTAGGCCATATAAAAAGATGATAATGCTCTCAGAAAGCGCAAAAAACTAGACCACCATCTGTTCAAGGCTATCGCTGCAGTCTGGTTCATGCTTATCAATAATTAGTATACTCTTTGCATTTTATTTGATATGGTCAGAGTATATGATCATCATTGTTTTTGTATTGGAGCAATAAGTAGAATGTATTTAATTCTGTCAAGAAGAAAGGCTTAAAATGTCCCTTGTTTAGCAGATATCAATAAAACAGAGTCTAGATATTGTCTTAAACATCTAAACTGCTTAATGCAGTGTGTTTCCTGGGTCAGTTGGCTGGGTGATATTTTTGTAATGTAGGTTCTTTGCCACTGAGGAAATCAAGCTACACTGGTTCTCAGTTTTTTTTTTTTTTTTTTTTACAAAGGAGCTCAAAAATCAGAAAACCTTTATGTCTGAGGGGACCAGCTGAACCATGATGTTAAAATACCGTAAATTCTCTAATATAGGCCCGGGCCTTTATTT